CTATCAAACTATTTTACTGAACTGGAAAAAATGGTTCAACGTGACATTAAAATATGCAAATCATTAGTATCCCGCTATTCCACTATGATCCTTGCTGCTCAGAGTAAGGGTGGAAACTCTGAACAATTCATATGAGCCATGATGGCTCAGTGGAGGTGAACCGGCTTCGAATCCCAGCATCGGCTGGTCGATACGGACTCCGCTTCCGGCTTGCACCGACCACAGTACTTTCGTAAAATATCCTCTGTGGTAGGCGGATCATGGGTTAGGGTGTCCTCTTAGTCAGGCTAACTGTGGGAGGTTTTCGTGGTTTTCCACGCCATGTAACTCAAACGCGGGTTGTAATTCAATTAAAAAGCCCTCCGCAAAGGCTAACATCTCCCAATACTTGATCCAGGAGTTCCCTTGTCTTCCAGATTAGGTTCAAAATTACAAGGCTACGGAGTTGAACATTAGCAGTCGTAAACGCAAAAAATTAGGTCGGTTGTTCAGCGACTGTTACGAAGCAATTCATATAGAGAGAGAAAAATTTTGAAAATTATATTCTAAGTTGCTTAATATAACGATATCTTTACTATATCTCTATATCGATATCTTACTTACTATATCTTTTTTACAATTTTGCAGTGGAACAGAAATGTTGACAAATGGATTCACGTACTTGATTTTGATAATTTCCCACTCTCATTTGCAACTCATAAACCAAGTAAGGAAATATATGCTCAGATTATCATACCTGCTGTCATTAGTGCCCACAGTAGTATTAAAAAAAATTTTTAACATAATCCATTTTAAGTCTTTCTTTTCTTATATTTTAATGGTAAAATGTATCAAGTGTTTGATTACCTTTTTTGTTTAATTTCACGAACCTACTTTTAATTTGAATTTCTCTAGAGCTTATCCTCATGTAAGAGCACGCATGAATTTCTTTCCCGAACAGTTATGATGAGTTTGTTAACTGAACAATTAAATTTATAAATTAATTGTAGTGCATTCTTAAATTAATTTGTATAAAGCGAATCTTACAGCCAGCTGTGAGTCTTGAGGTCAAAGAGGTTAATGATCCGCAATATTGCGACCGGCAACCTGATTTTGAAAATAGTGCACTAGGGTCTTAAGCCACCCCTGTGGATTGAACCTCAGTCACAATGACAGCTTAGTACCTTAACCGCTATTAATTGTTCTTCATTATTTGTTCAATTAATTTGCAAAAAGTGGAATGTTTCTGGATACCCCATTGTGACTCAGGGGGACAAGCCGGTAAAGGGTCCAAAATTTCGTGACTAATGGCTGTAAAGCTAGCCTTAGCCACAACGGTTTCAATAATTCACTCTGAAGATCAAACTCTGATCCTTCTCAACGACAAGTACCTTAAGTCACCTTAGTCACATGCAGTACCTTAGTCACTGAGCCATTATGGAAATTATTTTGTAATTAGAAAATGTTTTAGTGAATTCAATGGTAAAATTTTCAGGTAAACTCTTTTTTAATAATTTTTCAATTCATTTTACCACTTCTAATATTAATGTAATAATATTATTGTAAATTTATTTACACAGAAGAGTAGATAAAATTTAATTTTCATGAATGTTTCTGTGTTATATATTTGAATATAAAATATCGATAAATATTTCATTTACAATATTATATATGCATGAATAATTATGCATGTAAATAGTTTTTGAACATGGAAAGTTCTATTCAAAAATACACATGATATTGAAATAAATATTCAGCTTTTTGTTTATTATACAGAATGAAAGATATGAACTAAACTTCTGTCGAACAACTTAAATATAATTAAAGTTAAAATAAAAGACGAATGAAGTTCATTATAAAATAGTTGCAATTACGAATAAAAAAAAGTCTTTAATAAATAATTTATGAAATAATATTTTTAATTAATTTTACTGGAAAAAAAGTTAATATTCAAATTTTGGAAATAGTCTGTTTTGTCAAAGAAACAACTACCATAATTTTAATTGGTGCTATATAAAACTTTTTTACTTCTAAATATATGAAGATAGTAATCATTTTTCGGGTTCTTAAAAATAGACTCCCATTTTCAAAACTCCACCAACATTTGTGGAATTGTATAAAAGTTTTATTGTTATTAAATTATTTTATTATTATTATTCATTGCGCAATGTGGCCTGTATTTTCATAAGTATGTTATTGGTCTCGGAAAGAGAAACTGGCTGATAATTAATTGTTTAACTAATTGATAATTAAACCATATGGCTGATAATTAATTTTTGCGAGAGAACTATTTTTAATATCGCTGGTTCTTTCTTTAAAATAAAGCTCCAAAAATTACGCAACGTGCACATTTTGTGAATTTTTTTTTTGCACACATTTAATTCACGTTATTACCTTGATTTACGAACATTTTATTCATTGATATACATCAAGATTTTATTTACATGCATTTCAATAATATTTTTAAATTAACATTTCGAATTTATAGAATGTATTCACTGAACTAAAATTTCATTAGTCGGAGACAACTGTTTAATGTTCAAATTTATTTTAAACTCGTAAAATATCTAATATCCAAAGAAATAGTTTAGCAAATTAAAAAAAGCCTATTAATATCGAGTAGTTAAAAACAAAAATTTATAAGCAACGTCCTGTAACATGAGTAGCATAATAGTGGCATAACTGGAATTTTCATGAAATATCATTTACTCACAATTGCAAATATGTATGGTTGTAGATTAACAGATTGATCAATAAATATGCTTGGATTCCAAAATAAAATGAAGGCGGAGAAATGAACACAATAATGTTTATTTCACAAGAGAGAAAAATAATACAACAAAAATATCAGAAAGAATAAATCTTTGCCACAGCGCCATCTATGAATATTAATTTAAATCATAAATCTTAGCCATTATTTAATTGTAAAATGAAAGAATCTCCGACAAAAAAGACACACTCTTTTTTTTTAAGCTACGATCTTCGGTGATGCTAAAAAAAAAGAGTGTGTTCTCTTTTTCTAAAAATGATTAAGCAATATTAGATCTAGAAATATAGCTATAAATTATTAATCTGCATAAGTTAAGCACATTTTTAAAAACAAATATTTGTGTTTGCCTATATGAACAAGGTGTTTCAAACTTCTGGCTTTTTGAAATTATTTATTTATTTTAATTTATTTATTTTAATTTATTTTTTTTAGACATTTGTTAAAACTTTTAACATTTTCAAAATATTCAAATCGGACTTTTTTCATAAATTACCAATTACGATTCTACACAAAATTATGAAAAAACATTTTATTAAATATTTTCCGCGCATGCGCTGCATAAAAGAATTATTTTAAGTACTCACATCTTGCTCAAATTTAAATGAATTTTATTAATACTTAAAAAAAAATTGAATTTTACTCAATATTTCTGCAGTTATAGTTGCAAGTCGAAGTAATTAGTTTTTTTTAAATAAAAGTTCATAAACCTAACTTAAAAATTTATGGAGATGTTTTAATATCTTCATGAATATTTAAGCTAGGTTTACAAAATTTTGTAGAGGTATTGCATGTAATAATCAAAGTAATTGATTTAAGGTACAGGTTTATCGCTATGTTTCTTGAAAATGCTAAAAAAAAAAGCATTTATTTTTCATTTGCAATTTATTACCGGTCCCTCAAACATCTAAAATCTTTAAACTTAACTTAATTGTGTATGAGAATGCGCATGAACTAAACATTTCTTAAGTTTTAAAATAATTCTCTAAGTGTTTCTTGAGAAATCAGAAAGAAATTGACTGAGTATAGAAGTGTTTTCATCATTTTGTCCAACCTTTCTATATTATAAACGAGGTTAACATTAATCCATAAATGAAATTTTGAAAAAAAGTTCTAAATAAACTACTACTGTTTAAAATAATCTTTTATTTTTTTATAGCTCTTGAAGTTGTGAGTAAAATGGTTTCTATGTACGAAAAAAATTATCCGGAATATCTAAAGTTCGCAATGATAATAAATGGTATGTAATCAATTGATTTTAATTCCTGAATATATGATACTTTTCTATTCTGCCAAGTCAGCAGTGTACATATCAAAAAGAAATGGTTTCTAGTAGAACACCAAAGTCAAGCATCTCTGTCTGCGGTAAGCAGGTCGGTGACTACTTTGATCAGCCTGCATATGGACCGAGGGTATGCTGTATCGGTCCTCGTTTAGACTGTTCTACCGTAAAGTGCTAGACTTCGCACGCTGGTAGTCAGGCTACCAAATCAGTGAAACCATCCCCTCTGCAGAGGATTATAATTGCGATGGCTTGTCTTCGGATCATCCACAGGGATGTTTCCCAGACCATCGCCAATAGCCCAATGTGCAGCTCTAGTGCGACGTTAATGACATACTTACCTTTCCTCCGTCTCAAATCACCAAAGCGAAATCACCGGGCCTAAGTAAATCAACTTGTTTTTTACGTTTATTTATTTATTTAATTAATTTTTTATACTTCAACTGTATTTTAAATTAAAGAAACAAATAAATAAAAATAGATTAATTTATTTGTGTTGGCAAAATCGAAGAGTACCGAATATTGTTTTAGAAGTCCTAAATTTTTTATTCTAAACTATTGGCGAAATAGTTTAGAGTTCTACAGTCTTCTTTTTTTCCACTCTTAACTATTTTTCTAAATTGAGGAAATGTTCGGACTGCTCTAAACTGCAGATAATTTTTTTTTTATCTAACCGTCGTTGAACAGCCGAGCCGTTGAACAGTCAGTCGATTTTAGGTTTACGACTACTAATGTTCAACTCCGTCGCTTTGTAATTTTGAACCCATTCTAGAAGACAAGGGAACTCCTGAATCAAGTATTGGGAGAAGTAGGATTTCGTGGAGAACTTTTTGATGGAACTAACCCAAATTTGAGTTAAATGGAGAGGGAAACCACGAAAACATCCTACGGTTAGCCTGGCTACAAGGGGACTCTACACATGATCCGTCTACATTGAGAATATTTGGTGTCAGTACTGTGATTGGTGCGAGCCAGGGACGGATTTCGTACTGACCAGCCATCGCTGGAATTCGAACCCTATTCACCTTAGTGGAAGGCGAACGCTCTATTCAATGAGCCACCCTTCAAGTTTGTAGCATCCACATTGAATCAACCTGAAAGCTTAAGCTTTATTTATTCTGTTTTCCTTTATGTTAAAAAAAGTACGACTAACTGGTAATGTTATGATGATGGGAATAAGTTACTGTACTACTGGTTAAAAGACAAAAGAGTGAATGGGTATTTCAAAGTAAATAACTTAAAAAAATTCAATTGAAAATCACCATTTGTTTTTTAACCCTTCAATGGTTGAGACCCTGGGTTAAACTATGCATGCATTTTCCTGCTGAGGACTATATTCCTCTTCAATAATATTGTAAAACCTATTTTTGGATGTGCTAAAGTCTGAAAGTTCGAAAAAAATCGCGACTTACGCTCAGAGGGTTAACAAGTAACGAAATAAAGTTTTTCATTTAAAATGTTATTAGTTTTAAAAATAATTCTTATTCTTCGCTATTTATGCCACATTTTGTGAATTTTGAGAGTTAGCGTTTTTAAAAAATGTAATTTTTAAAGGATTCTTGCTTCTTTTTCAGCTTCATGGTACTTCCAGATTGCATTCAACTTCGTTAAGCCTTTAATCACTGGACAAACCTTAAATAAAGTTAAAATATATGGTAAAGGTAAGAAGAATGAACCATTTTCTTTGATAAACATATGGATATATTATACCCTAATAATTCAGTTAAATTTAATAAATAAAGCAAAAATAACTGCTAAGCCACTTTCCATTCCGTAACATGATGATTCTTAAAAGCTTTTAAAAATATATATAAATATATATTTGAAGTTATGATTCTCTAAAAGCATTATTATATTATATTTGAAGTGATAAAAAAGTACCATCNAAACTATGCATGCATTTTCCTGCTGAGGACTATATTCCTCTTCAATAATATTGTAAAACCTATTTTTGGATGTGCTAAAGTCTGAAAGTTCGAAAAAAATCGCGACTTACGCTCAGAGGGTTAACAAGTAACGAAATAAAGTTTTTCATTTAAAATTTTATTAGCTTTAAAAATAATTCTTATTCTTTGCTATTTATGTCACATTTTGTGAATTTTGAGAGTTAGCGTTTTTAAAAAATGTAATTTTTAAAGGATTCTTGCTTCTTTTTCAGCTTCATGGTACTTCCAGATTGCATTCAACTTTGTGAAACCTTTAATCACTGGACAAACCTTAAATAAAGTTAAAATATATGGTAAAGGTAAGAAGAATGAACCATTTTCCTTGATAAACATATGGATATATTATACCCTAATAATTCAGTTAAATTTAATAAATAAAGCAAAAATAACTGCTAAGCCACTTTCCATTCCGTAACATGATGATTCTTAAAAGCTTTTAAAAATATATATAAATATATATTTGAAGTTATGATTCTCTAAAAGCATTATTATATTATATTTGAAGTGATAAAAAAGTACCATCATATTTAAACGAGATTGCACATTTTATAGGACCTAGAGAGAGAGAAGTTTATAGTTTGTCTACGGTAAGAACTCCCCCCGTCACGAAGTCTGAAACCGTCTGCTGCTATGGATACAAGAATAGTGCATTTCAGGGAGGCTAGCTTCTTTTAACTCTAAGGCTAATATAATAGACAGACGAAAAAGATTCCCTTTCTCTCGCCAAACTGCCTTGAAATAGTTATACCTCTTTACCACATTCACCTCCACTGGTTCAGATGAATAGTTAGGGGAGCTCTTACTTTAGACAAACTGTACATGATCAAAGTTATGTAGGAAAAATTAAAAGTTAATCTTAAAAATGTTTTCTTTTTGAACAATATTAATAAAGTGATCAATTTTCCTATTCTAATAATAATTTCAAGTCATAATATTTTGTTTGCTAAAAGCATTATTAGCAACTAAGTCCCCTGCGTTTATTTAGGTTAATATTAACCATGTCATTAAATGTTCTTGGCATGTTTTAGATTATTCGAACAAGGAGATTTTGTTCCACCGGTTCTCTATGTTAGAGTTAACTAAATTTTTTGTTCGAGTTAACTTGTGTTATTTTTCAGATGGAATGTCAAGTTGTGGAAAAGGAGCATTTCAGACAACTACCTTCTTTTTTGGTTTTAATCATATGGTTCTAAGGTCTCAGAAGCAACACGTTACACGTATGGTGGCTCGTCTCTACGTATGGCGATGGCAACATAGCTCAAAAACCCTCCAGTTTTTGAGCTATGGTTCTTTCACATGGCGAGTGCATAAATGGAAAATTTGACCTAAAAGGCAAATTTTGAGACTAAGGCCAGTTTAGGTCAATAAAAAGATTTTACAAGAAAATTCGCGTTTAGCACAAGAAAACTGTGGTAGACAAAGACGCACAAACTTTTAAAAATTTGGGGGGAGGGGAGGTTGGACTAACGCAATACATGTATAAGTTTATTGAAAATCCCTGAATCTTTGTAAATTGTCGACATTATTTTTTAGGTTTATTTCAATTAAAATTGTAGGCTCCGTTGTCAGTAAGCTTAACCGAGACCGGCAATTTGCAAACAGCTGTATATTCAAATAAGCTTACAACGTATATACAATGTTTTTTTTCTCATAGATGGTTGGCAGGAAGATCTGCAGAAAATTATGGATGTTAATGAATTACCAGCTTTTCTAGGAGGCAATAAAACAGATCCTGATGGTGATCCTATGTGCAGAACATTCGTAAGTTCATTCAATTTTTGATCTGTAGAACATTATTTATTTCAGAGATAATTTTATTCATTTTAATTTATTTATTTCAGAGAAATGTTGCACTTTCACATAGCATTCTGTTCGTTCACGAAATTCAGAAAATTGTACGCAGCTGCTGCGCAGTTACTAGAAAGCAATCTCTGCTTTTTACACAACTTCCGCAGAAAGCGTGTACATGAACGTGCTGTTCACCAACTTAGTTAGAGTGCAAAATTTCTATGGTGTCTAATAGCGGAGCGTCTAATAGCTAATTTACGGAGTTGTACACAAAAGATTAACAATTATGTTAATTCTAAAAGCTTTTCAGCGTATGAAGCTAGCGACGATAGGGCAGTACACACAGGCCCAGGAATCCAAAGGAAATTTGTGAACGGTTCGGTTCAAAATATATTATTTTGAATAAAATAGGCTGGTTAAAGTTAAAGTAATCGGATTTAGGGTATTGAGATCCTGGAAACTGGCTACTTTCAATGAATAAAATTATTATTTCGAACAAAATGTAACACGTTTGGGACAGAGAGGAACTGAAATGTGCCCCTGCGTCCATCCTATTTATGCACATATATTATCGTCTGACCCATAGTTGGGTTTACGACTACTAATGTTCAACTTCGTAGCCTTGTAATTTTGAATCCAATCCAGCCGACAAGGAAACACCTGGATCAAGTATTGGAAGAAATCTGCCTTTGTATAGGACTTTTTGATGGAACTAAAACACATTTGATTTGCATGGAGAGGAAAACCACGAAATCCTCCCAAGGTTAGCCTGATGACTACAGGACTCTAATCCATGATCCGTCTATCACTAAGAATATTTTTACGTCGGCACTATGGTTGGGGAGAGCCAGGTGTGGAATTCGTATCGACCAGTCATCGTTGGGATTCGAACCCGGTTCGCCTCATTGGAAGGCGAAAGCTCTACCCCCTGAGCCTCCACGGTTAGACATATGGTTATTTTATTTTATAACCGTCGTTAAAATTCAATAAACTGCATAATTGTTTTCTATTGAACAGCCATTTCTTTTATTTCAGTTTTTTTAATATTAAGTTAATAGACATTATTGAAAAATATGTTGTCATACATCTTGAGACTGATTGAATTAATAATAAATTTATTAAATAGATATAAAAAAAGCAATTAAAATGGAGCTTTTGAAATGTGAAAACGAAATCAAGAAAATGCTAAATACACCTTTTCCACTTTACACATATAGTGATGCCGAGTCCTATAAGTGGCTCTGGGGAATGACAGCTCGCCTCCCAATGAGGTGGCACGGCCCGCGAAGCCTTTTTTTGTGACCCGCGAACTAAAATATATTACAAACTAAGGTAAACAACGTTTAAGAGCACAAAAATATTTATAATTATTTATATTTATATTTATAAATAGAAATATAAATATAAATGTAAATATTTTTGTGTTCTTAAACGTGGTTTACCTTAGTAGTTTGTATTTTAGCACGAAGGTCGTCCACTTGTGTATTTAAAATATATTAGTTGTCACTTTTTTTGCGAGAAATTTTCGTAAAAAATCTATATGGGCTTAAAATACTTTTCTCATTAATAAAAACATAATTTCTTCGCTTCTGTGAAATTTAACATACAAACGGTGCAAAAAAATTTATTTCTCAGTTTTTGCATCCAATAAAATATTTATTCAAATACAAAAATAATTGTGTATGTTGCTCTTTTCATTGTTTTTTATATAGTATTTTGTGAATATAATTAACACTTGCGTATCAGAAATTTTCTCGAAGAAATTCTCCGATTTAACTTTTTGAAACCACTCATTTTGGACGAAACTATTTACTCTCACATTTGCAAATTTTAAATTTGGCATGTAAATACCTATTCTCTGATGGTTGCAGCAGACAAACCAAATGTTTCTCACTAAATATTTTGTATGCTACTATGTAAGTTTTAATACCAACCTTTTTAAAGTTTTATATCATAACAATTAGATATCTGTAGCACATTAATTGTTTAATACATAGATGCACATTAAAGTTATTGTAACCCGAATTTTTATTATTTATTTAAGATTTATAAAAATATTATTAATAACAATTAAATATTTTAAAAAATCTAAACTTCTTATTTTAATTTGTAATTCAATACCTTTGTTTTGTACAAATTGCTAAAAATCTGACAGTAATATTTAATGTTCCTACAAACATAAGAGTCCTACATAAATTTTTGATAAAGTTGTGGCCCGCCATTTGATATGTGTTTTTAATTGTGACCCCCGGCCTAATGTAAGTTGGAAACCCCTGGTTAATATGTTCGGTTTCTACCGACCACAATGCTGACGTAAAATATCCTCAGTGGTAGACGGATCATGCGTTAGAGTACTCTTGCCGCCTTACCAACGGTGGGAGGTTTTCGTGGTTTTCCTCTCCATGTAACATAAATGTAGGTTAGTTCGATTAAAAAGTCCATCTCTAAGGCAAACTTTTGTTCAAAACTTGATCCAGAATTTTCTTTGTCTTTTGGATTGGGTTCAAAATTACACGACTGCGGAGTTGAACATTGATAGTCGTAAACTCATAATTGGGGCGGGTGTTCAACGATGGTTATTAAATAAATTATAGATTAAGCTGGTTGAGGTCATTATTTCGTTGAATTTGTCAAAATGTAACTTCTCAAATGTCAAACATTTTTGAAAACAAATTAGTATTTTAATTTCCTTTGTTTTCGTGTGTAAATCAATTTGAGATAAAAATGTTTTTCCCTTCTTGCATTAATTAAGTTTTATTTATTTATTTATTTTGCCTCGTGAAAAAAAGTGCACTTGTATTGGCAAGATTCCGCACTTAAATTTATTATATTAACGTAAAAATATATTTATTTATTTATTTTCTTTACAAAAGCAATAAATAAATAAATAATAAATGAGTAATTAAAAAAACAAATCAAGAGCCAGCTTAAGTAACAGTTTTAATTAAAACCAAAAGTTAGTTTCTGCTGACACTTTTTTAACTCAAAATAAGACGAAAAAGAGAAGTTTTTAAAAAAAGAAATAAGGAAATCTCAAAATAGAACTTTCAAGGACGAGATTTCATTAAATTATCAGAATCCTTTTTTTTCGTTGGATTGTTTAGGTTATTATCTATCGCTTTAAAAATCTAGACTAAAAATGAGTGATAAACTTTTTGATTCACTGACATAGTTTACACGCTTTATTTACTTTTTTGTAAATATAGCATTTTTTCCTTATAAATCAGATAACAGAACAAAAGAAGATTGACAGTATCTTTACCTATATTTTTTTTTCGAACTTCTTGATATGTACAGCATAAACAACGTAATTTTAAAGAATCGTTTATCAATTTGCCACCAATCATTTGCAAGTAATTTGCAGCCCTGTTTTAGATTTTTTTTTTTAATATTTTCTCGTGAAATATTTAAAAATTATTGTTGGAAATATGATATTTAAAAAAAGAAATAGAACGGAAAGATGTTAGAGAAATTGTGTTCTTCACATATACAGGGTGATAAAAATTTTTTAACGAAATGAAAAAGCAAAGATAGCATGTAAAAAGAGTAAAAATCACATTGGAACATGGAATCGCAAATGCTACCAGGAGCCGCTAGAGGGAGCTTCAAATTAGTAATAATATTACAGTAGATAATAAACTAAAATCGTATGGCATCAATTAATTTTTACTGTATTTGTACACGTGACAACAAATACTACAGTCGAGGATGCTCGCTCAAAACTTAAGCCTTAGTTCGATAAAATTAGTACCAATCATGTTTAGGGACTTAAGACTAGAGACTCCACGTTCGAGTGACCACCAAACCGGAGCATCTGCTCCTGCATCCCAGAGATCAAGATCAAGAAAACTGAGATGGGCACAGTAGGCTTTGACCCTCTATGGGCTGTCGCGCCACTGAGTTTAGGTTTGCAATTTTTGTATGCACATGTCAAACCAGCTCCCCGCTACGTTTTTTGATCGAGAGTTGTACAGTGAGCGAAAGAAAAAACGGACCATCCTGAATTACTTTTGATCTAGAATCGAATCTTCACATTCAAGGAACCAATCTTAATAGTTCGAGAGAATGATCTCAAATATGCTAATTAATTAGTGCAAAGGATATTTTAAGTGACGAAATCAGGCACAAAAACATACATTCGCCGAATAAACATACTTTTTTTCCCACTTTACTTTTTTTAGATTTTTGGCCCCAAATCGGCGAGGACGGCCTTCCATAGCTTGGACCAGTTAGTATTAGTTTTTACTTTTTGCGTATTTCACCATGAATCAAAAACTTTTCGAGCTAATTTAAAAAAATTGTCACGCTAAAATAAAATTCATATGTCCGAAGATAATTCCATGCAAAATATAACTTTTGATAAATATTTGATATTTTTTATTATTATTTAATGAAAGTCAAATGAATTTTGAAATGTAAGGTGTACAATTTTTCACATCATTTTGAAGGACGTAATTTTGCTTGGCAAAATACGAAATCTGGACGAAATGCGTATAATAGTACCTGAGAAATCGAACTTTGAAAAAGTTATATTTTTAAAATTTTATTTCTCAAGAACAATTCGATCGAGTTCTCTCCAATTTTGTATTTTGCCATTCAAAATGGCATTAGTTAAAATGGTGCAAAAATTGTCTACATTACAATTTAAAAGCTTTTCTGCTATTATTAGATACAGCAATAAAAGAATAATAAATATTTACTAAAAGTTATATTTTGCATGGAATAATTTTTGGATAAACGAATTTTGTAATAATATGCAAAACATTTTTCAATTCGCGTAAAAGGTTCTTGAGATGTGCTGAAATACTCCAAAAAGTAAAATTAGCATTAAGGAATTAAATTTTGGACCATTCTCTTGAATAAACTAGAGGAATCATATTTTCCAAATTTCGACAATCCCCTTAATTTTGAGGGTCAAAAATCCAAATCCGTCGAAGCAAGGCATGTTTATTTAGATGAAGTAAGTTTTTGTGTCTGATACCGTAACTTGAAATATCGTCTGCACTAATTAATTAACATATTTGAAGTCACCCCATCGAACCTTAAAGATTGAGTCCTAGTACGGGAAATTCCAATCAATAAATCAAAAGTTATTCAGGGTGGTCTTTTTATTTTTTTGAGCACTGTACCTCATATTTCACTATGTCACCCTTTAAACCAGTGGTCCCCAACCTTTTTGTACCTAAGAGCAAATACCAGAATATCAGTCGAATGGCGGGCACCATTTATTTTTTCAAGATAAATTTATAGTTGGTAGACATAGGTAATAATACACACTACATATAGTGCACAAAAATTAAATTTCAAAAATTAATTTAACATATGAACACAATTAATAATTTTGTGTAAAAAAAATTATTACTAAATTGCTTTCAAAACATACGAAGTATAAAAATTATTTATAAAATACAATGGCATGTGGTGTTTGTCATGGCATTTCGTTGGCCAGCGCTACATAATCGGGAGAATATGATACTCTTTTTAAGAATGGAATTTAGTCCTTCAAATATATTCCAGAATTTCTCATGTGATATAATAGTTTTGAGGATAATGTCATCCAATGGAGATCCAAAATTTCTATATCCAATTCTTCTCGCTTTACTTGAAGAAATTCTGAAATGTATGTTGCTATTACGGTTACGTTTATTTGGTTGGTAAAAGGATTAACAAAAAAGTTATCAAAGGCTCGATGATATTAAATTGCTGAAAGCGCTTTTTAAATTGATCTTTAAGCAATTGGAGGTTGATGACAAATGTCGATTTCACTGTCACCTATCAATTTTTTCATGTTTGGAAAATGCACAAGAGACTTCATTTTCAAATGTGATATCCACAAAACTAGCTTAGCTCTGAACGAGTTAACAGCCTCCATCATTTTTGCTTTATGTTTGTCCTTTCCCTGCAGCTCCAAGTTTAAATAATTTAGTTTTTTCTTTATGTCCGTTATGAAAGACCAATCTTTGGATGACTTCAGTATGTATTTGGAAAACTGAAATATTTTATAGTTGAGCAGCGGGCGCACCTAGATCGATCGACGGGCGCCATGATGCCCGCCGGCATAGGGTTGGGGACCCCTGTTTTAAACCATCACTCGTTTTCTATAGTATGTTAATGGGATAATATATTAAAAACTCCTTCCCTATTGTCTGAGCCTGCCCTAAAACTATCAGATCTTCTTTAATTTAAAAGAAATATTTAGCCAGAAGACGATTCAGCCTAGACAACAAGGGAATGCAAGGATATGGCGGAGATTTTGTATGCTGTAAGGGCAGAGACATAGTTAAGGTGTACAAAATTTATTCAACTGAAATCGCGATTTAGTAAGAAAATAGAAGTGAAACTTTTTAAATCATATAATAGATGAAAAAAGAAACTTTTTTTGTCCCTATAAAGGTAGGCAAGCACCTTATTTAGTCCCGCTAGAGCTGCACAATGGGATATTCTCGATGATTTGGAATGCATTCCTAAGGAAGATCCGAAGATATGCCATCGAAATTTTGATCTTCTGCAGAGACGATGGCTCACCTGTCTTGTGAGCTCGATGACCTGGCGCGAAATCAAGCACTTTACAATAGAACAGATTACGTGATGGCACAGGGGATAGAGCCATACGTAAGTTCTCTTGTCTTCTGAATTTGGATCAAAATTACAAGGCGACTGAGTTGGACATTGGTTGACGTAAGCCCAGAATCGTGTCGGTTGTTCAACGACAGCTATAAAATTAAAAACTATAAAAATAAAACAGTTTACAATATCGCTCACCCTTGATTCTTACGCAGGCAGATCAAAGTGGCCACCCAACAGCTTACTGACAGCAGTCAGTGATGTTTGACTTCGCTGTTCTATTGGGAATAGTGTCTTTATGATCACTCATCTGCGAGACTATTCTAAAAAAGTGTACCTTATTTATTTTGAATTGATTTAACTATATAAGGAAATTAAATCAAATCGAAGAGATAAAGAGACAATGTGATATATGGAATATAGCATTAATAAACCGCCATCCATCTTCAAATTCTAAAGATTTGCATATTAAAATGTTTTTTGTTGTTGTTTTTATAGTTTTAATTGTCTATAATCATAATTGATATAGTTTTAATTGTATATAATCATAAATGATAATAATAAAAACAGAGCTAAATTGTTAATTTTTTTGCAGATAAATCATGGCGGTGTCGTTCCAGAATGCCTTTATGCTCTAAACCGCAGAGTTTCTTTATCTGGTCAACCAAAAGTGAAAAAAATTTCTATTAATAGGCTTTCAAAAGTTCAGATTGAACTTCATGTATTATATCCTGGAGCTGAAATTGAATGGGAATTCGAAACTAAAGGAAAGGATATTGGTTTTGTACTATTGTATAAGGAAAGCAAATATTCCAGCAAGGAGCCCATAGAGGTTTTTCCGAGGCAAAGAGTGGACACAAGCATTGCTTCTGAGAGTGGTGTATTCAAAACTGAAAAGGCAGGAAACTGTAAGCATTAATAATAATTACTCTTAAATACTTGTAAACGTAAAATCACTTTTAACTCATTCTAATAGACAAGGCTAACATCTGATTTTTTTTTAATGATAACAAATAACATTCTTGTTTACACTTGATCAATCATTATGAATAAGAAGAAGGGTTTTGTTTCGAATATATAATAGATAATACTTAATATTAAAAGTAGGTTTTATAAATTAAATTATTCTTCCATGCAAAGTGTCTCATATGTGTTACGACTAATTTTAAGAGAATTTAAATGCGCTTAATAAGAATTGAAAGTTGTACAGCAACCCTTTACTACAAGTGTCATTTTACGCCACTGGGTGGTGCTCTACATTCCACTACTGCAACGCACCTAGCAACAACGCTTGACTAGCCCTGAATTCTTAATTAAAGCCCTGATTTATTTTGTTTCGGTAGGTACTCTAATAACGTCGCACTAGAGCTGCGCAATGGGCTATTGGCGATGGTCTGGGAAACGTCCCATAGGATGATCCGAAGATATGCCATCGCAATTTTGATCCTTTGCAGAGGAGATGGCTCCCCTGCTTTGGTAGCTCGTCAACCTGCGGCAGAACAGTTTAACGAATACCAATACCGCATACCCTCGGTCCTTACGCAGGCTGATCAAAGTGGTTACTCACCTGTGACCAGTTTGGTCAGATCAATAGCTCACACACAATAATAGGACTGTATTAATTTTATACTCATTTATTTTGTACCAGCATTACAGACTCGCGCGTGAGCCCGTTACACATACTCATACTCTGCTGCTTCCAGCACTCAGTTCTACAATTAAATTCAATTTACGCTTACAGCGCCATCTATATGTTTAATGGGAATTAACACTCCCCACGATTGAAATTGCAAATTTCAATACATTTTACACAATTAACAATATAATGTTATACAGAAGAAAAATATATATATATATGAATCATACAAATAACATTGTGACATAAAGCAGACATTGAGATATAAGACTAAAGCTAATTTTCTATTTGCACAATTACTCTATGGGAAGAATACAAATGTCACGAATATTTCTTTGAAGTTGTTTGCCATTAGGTAAACTTAACTTCACTACTCTTATTTTTGTGTCACGGCCAGGCATCACCTCAACAATTCGTCCTACTAACCATTGCGTAGATGGTAAATTCTCTTCCTTTATCAAACACAGGGTTCCTATTTCTACATTATTCTTTTCAAATTTCCATTTATTACGTTCCTGTAAATTATTAAGGTAGTCCCTTTTCCACAACTTCCATATTCTCTGACTATACTTATTAATCTTTTGCCAGTTAGAAAGCCTATTCTCAGTTATATCTATTAGTTGGGGTTCAGCGAGTGAGGTGATGGGCCTACCTATCAAGAAATGACCAGGTGATAGAGTTTCAAATTCATCAAACTCCGGTGATAGTGGAGTGAGAGGTCTGGAGTTCAAAACACCTTCGATTTCAGTCAAAATTGTCAAGAATTCTTCTAAAGTTAAATTTTGATTGCCAATTACTCTTTTTAGGTGGAACTTAAACGACTTCACACCAGCCTCCCAAATTCCCCCGAAGTTTGGTGACCTTGGTGGGATAAATTTCCAATCAATCCCTTCGTTAGTAAAATAACTGGCTAACGTCTCATCTGGGCAATTTATCAATTTCCTTAACTTCTTAATCTCAATGTTAGCACCGATAAATGTTTTTGCATTATCGGTCATAATTTTTGAACACTTGCCCCGTCTCCCAAAAAAACGTTTTAGACTGGCAATGAACGATTGAGAAGTTAAATCAGTTACAAAATCTAAGTGTATTGCCTTGGTACACAAGCAAATATAAACAGCAACATAAACCTTATTTGTGACCCCTTTTCTCTGGTTTTTGAACTTAATAGAAAATGGGCCACAAAAATCAATTCCCGTGATGTTAAATGGATAATTAGGTCTTGTACGCTCCTTTGGTAGATCAGCCATTATTTGATTACTCATAACAGGTTTGTTTTTAAAACATGTGATACAACTATGTACAATTTTCCTACAATTATTTCTACCGTTAAGAGGCCAGAACTTTTGTCGAACTTGATATAATAATGCTTGTGGTCCCAAGTGCAAATATTTTAAATGACAATATCTCAAAATTATGGTGGTTAAAGAATTCTTACCCGGTAAAATGATGGGGAACTTAGAATTAACAGGCAAGTCAGACAGAGATAATCTACCACCAACTCTCATCAGCTTATTTTCATCTAGAAAAACACACAATGAAGACAACTTACTGTTCCTCGGAACAGGCTTACCTTTTTCCAAGCTTTTGATTTCCTCTGAGAACTCACTTCGTTGTAAACAGTTTAACAACCAAATTTCAGCTGCATTTAATTCACTTACTAACAAGGGACCAATTTTTCTTGCATCTGGATTTTTACAATTGTAAATGAATCTGAAAAGAAAACTCAATACATGAATAATTTTAGTATATTTGTTAGATAAGGTAAGAATTTTCTCAAAAAGGGAAACATTATCTATAGAAATTAAAGTCACTAAATGGGAATCACAGTTCTTTTTAAGTTCAACTTGGTACTCTTCTTCATGAACAGTTTGCTCCTCATAAGCGTCTGGAATGTTCTCTTTAAGGAAGTCAGGACCAGACCACCATTTTGCACTGCCAAGAAGAACGTCAACAGTCACACCTCTGCTTAACATGTCAGCGGAATTGTCTCTACTAGCACAGTGGTGCCATGATGTCTGGGCTGTCAATGCTTGAATCTCTTTTACACGGTTCGCCACAAAAGGTTTCCATCGTTTGGTTGAACTCTGAATCCAGTAGAGTACGATTTTAGCATCAGTCCAGAAAAAGCTTGTTGATTGATGTTTATGGTCGATTACTTTCTTCACCTCTTTAGCTAATCTTGCTGCTAGCACAGCACCCATGAGTTCCACCCGCGGTAGTGTAATCTTCTTCAAGGGTGCAACTCTGGTTTCAGAAGACACAAGATTGATAATGATTTGATCTTTGACTCGTATTTTTATGTACACGGCGGCTCCATAGGTCTTGATACTAGCGTCTGAAAATGTGTGGATTTCGACACATAAATTCTCATCACCTGTAGGACTCATCACATGTCTAGGAATTTTAAGATCTTTTAGTTGAGAAACTTCTGTACACCACTTCTTCCACGTTTTTGCAATGTCGGGTGGCAACTCTTCATCCCAGGTGATTTTCCTCTGCCAGATCTCTTGAAATAAACATTTAAATCTGATGGTGAAGGGAGTGAGAAGACCTAAAGGGTCAAATATTCTTCCTGCAGTCATTAGCAAAAATCGCTTGGTATTTTTATCCTGTTGAAGAAATTCAAGCAAGCTATCTATCTCCACTGTGATAAAGTCACTAAGTGGATTCCAAGAAAGGCCTAGGACTCGATGCAGATTTCCTTCGAGGTCCTCTGGGTGTAGTAGATCAAATCCTTCTTCATTCAGTTTTTTCATAAGATTTTCATCATTCGAAATCCACTTTCTTAGGTTCATTCCAGCATCTCCCATGATTTGTTTCGCTCTTTTAGAAATTTCAAAGGCTGCTTCTTCACTGTCCTCTCCAGCTATCAAATCGTCAACGTATAAACAGTCATCAAGTACTTGTACTGTGGATGGAAACTCTTTACGGTATTTTTCTATATGCTTTTTAATGGTAGCTGCCAACAAAAATGGACTAGAATTCACTCCAAATATTACTCGCTTGAATCTGTAGATCTCTATATGTTTTAGATCCTTTCCAAAAAGAAATCTCACAGCGTCTCTGTCTCTATCACTCAAGGATATCTGGAGGAATGCATTCTCGATATCAGCCAGAAATGCAATTCTATTTAAACGAAAATGGATCAGAAGATAAAAAATATTTGGATTCAGATTAACCCCTTGAAACAAACAATCATTCAGAGATAATTGTTCGATTCCATGTGCACTAGCATCGAAGACTATTCTCATTTTGGTGGTTAGCCTCTCCTTTTTATTGACAATCAAATGGGGCAGGTAAAACACAGGCTTATCATTTGGTTTTGAATGATACAATACTCTCTCAATTATTCCTTCTCTCAAATAAATTTTTAAAGTTTCGCAATATTCTAAGTATAGTGAATTATCACGATTCATTCTTTTAATCAGGGAGTCAATTCTCTTCTTTGCAATGTTGAAATTATCATCTAACTCCTGCCAGTTCCTCTTCCAAGGTAAGGTTACCTTGTACCGCTTGTTTTTAAAGCTCACCGTGTCATTAAAGTTCTTTAGGGCTTCGTTTTCGTCGCTGTTTTCATTCTCGTCATTAATGCCAATGGACTCTAGCTCCCAAAATCTACTAATGGACTTTTCTAATTCCGTGTTATCCTTTATTAATCCGCAGTGAACCCTATCATAATTTTTGTTGGTATGCTCCCACTTACAACGTAACCGAATACCGTATTTTGTAAAATTAACTTTGTATTAGGGGGTTGTATTTGCCCTATCCTCATAATTTCATAAAAATGTTCCGCGCCTATAAGTATATCAATAGGACCTGGCATGTTAAAACTTAAATCCGCCAATTTCACATCTCTTAATTCTGGGAAACTGCATTGAATTGGTTTAGATGGGGTAAAATCCATTATTCTTGGAACAACTAAAAAGTTTAAATCTAAATTAAAATTCCCCTCCTCATTTGTAATGGTAGTACTCACTCGTGATTTTATTTCTAATGACAATTCATTTAATCCTGACACTGAGGCATTTATTTTTTCTTTCCTTAAATTAAGTCTATCAGATAATCTTTTGCTGATAAAATTCGAATTCGCAACCACATCAAGCAAACCCCGGCAAGGAATTAAATTGTTTACATTATCTTTTATGTAACAAATAATCGTACTAAGCAAAACACATTTTGATTGTATTGAATTCGAATCGAAACTCGCAGCCGCAAAATATTCTTCGTTTTTGTTTTGATTAACTTCCGCACTTCTAGAAGGATTGGTAATAAATTCAGCTGCGGTGGGGGAAAGCACGCTTCGACTAGCAGTCGCCGATGCCTCATACGGTTTTTTCTCAGGAGAGAAATGCAAAGTCACGTGATGACGCCTTTTACAATTCTGGCAAGAATACTTAGATTTGCAATTTGATACTCTGTGGTTATTTCCTAAGCAATTAAAGCATAATTTATTAGTTTTAACAACTTCTACTCGATCATTTATGGATAAGTTTTTATAAGCAGGGCAGTTATATAATGGATGATTTTCACTACACGATAAAACACATTTAGAAATTTTAGCATCTGACAAGAATACTCGCGAAGCATTTTTTGAGTGGGGATTTTTTACGTTTTCTAAACTATTGACTAATTTTTTCCCACGCGATGTGTAGTATAGATCGATCTCTTTCGATAATTGAGAGGGTTTGAACCAATCGTCTCCCTGTTTCATACTTATATGGTATGCGGTATCTTTGTCAAGTGTTTGATAGATTTTGTCGGATACGATTAACTCTTTTAATGTTTCGAAATCCGACACCTTCCTTAATTTCAAATAATAATCATAATTTGTTATCAATCGAGACGCGTATTGTACGTGTGTTTCGTTTGGTTGTCGGAATGTATTTTTGAAATGTTCTAAACACGATTGAGGGGTGGGCTCAAATTCTCTTATTACGATTGATTTTACTTTAGAATAATCATTTAACTCGTTATCTTTTATATAAGTGATCACGTTTGTGGCCTTTTCTCCTAGCAAATTTAAAAGAATTTCTGCCTTGTATTTCTCGGGTATAGCTCGTTCACCAGGAGTTGGCACTTGACTCCACCTCCTCGGACGCAGAGTTCATTTCAGCGCGGGAGGAGAAACATTTATGCTCTTGAAATTAAGGCAACCCTTAATGCGCGCCAAACACAAATAGCGAATTCTTTTTCAGTCGCTTACATCGCTAATAATACCTTTTTCTTACTCTAGCTAATTAAATATATTTTAAATTTAAAAACTGTTCTTTTCCCAGCAAAATGTTTCAGAAAGGACAAGCTATTCATTCAAAAGAGAGAAATATCATAAATAATGTTACCAAATTTTGCGAAGATGAAGCCAGAGCGGGAACGTTTTCAATTCCAATTTCACAAGCTCAAAAACGTGCTGCTGCAGCTACTGGTGTTTCGCTTAGAACAATTAAGCGAATTAAAAAAGAAGATATCTCAAATGGACTCTTATCTTCCCCAGGAAAACATCGCAAGCGTCCTGAATATAGAAATGCAATTTTAGACAATTTTGATCTCTGTGTTCTTCGAAACATAGTTAATGAGTTTTATGCAGACAAAAAAATTCCATCTTTATCCCGATTGCTTCCTGAAGTGAAAAAAAGAATAAATTTTCCATGGGAAAGAGGAACTCTGTGGAAATATCTCCATATTGCAGGTTTTCAATATAAACGTTGCAAAAACCAGAGGCACATATTAATGGAACGATCTAACATTGTAAGCTGGAGATTTCGTTTTCTTAGAGAAATAAGAAAATTTCGAGAAGAAAAAAGAAAAATAATTTATTTAGATGAAACGTGGCTGGACAGCAATCTTTATTTCAATAAATGTTGGACAGATGAAAAAGTTGGCATTATTATCAAAGATAGTGCAGGATATCGCCTGATTGTAGTGCATGCTGGTTCCGAATCCGGTTTCATCCCGAATGCCGGCTTGATATTTAGAGCAGGATCTGCTTCTGGAGATTACCATGGACAAATGAACTTTGAAAATTTCGAAAAATGGATAATTGAGAGACTGTTACCAAATATTCCTCCGAATTCGGTCATCGTTATGGATAATGCAGCTTACCATACAAAAGTGCTGAATCCCGTACCAACAAAAAGTTCAACAAAAGATAAAATGTGTGTCTGGCTTGAGAAAAAGCAGATTATACACAATAAGAAAATGCGAAAAGTTGAATTATTTGAATTAATTACAGCAAATGCTCCAACCGAAAAACAATATTGCATTGATGAACTCTTAAAAGAACAGGGTCATGATGTTTTGAGACTTCCCCCTTATCATTGTGACTTAAATCCCATAGAATTAATTTGGGCAGATATTAAACGTTATGTTAGAGAAAGAAATGTGGCTGCTGATATGAGTTTACAACGTCTTCAAAATCTTGCTTCAGAAGCCATACAAGATATTGGAAATGAGAGATGGAAAAAGCATTGCACACATATAGAAAACATAGAAAAAAAATATTGGAAAACTGATGGAATTGTCGAAGAAGTTGTGGAAAATATTTCTTTTTCCATTGATTCTGATTCTGACACTGAGAGCGATTTTAGTAGGGATAGTTTTGACGATGAAATTTAATTTAATCTTACACTTTGTAGATAAATCATATATGTTTGCAACGTTCATTTGAAGATGGGGTTTTTTGGACCTGGTGTAGGCGTTCCTACACCAGGGGGATAAGTAATAACAACAGCGCTCATTTTTAAAAGCAAAGTATGTGCTGAATATTTTTGTTTCAAATTTTTTTAAATATAATTAAACTATAACATAATCAAGCAATTCAGATAAGTTTCTAATTGATATTTAATTTTTTTATAATCGATGCATTGAAAAAAATGAAATTTTTATTAAATAATATTTTTATTAATGAAACTTAAACCACATTTCTTCATTATTAGGAAATATATACAATTTTTTTACATATCATATTTATTTTACAGAAAAAAAATCTTAATAATAATTTTTGTAAGTTTTACGTCATGTTAATGATGATTTATATATTTTTATTTTTGTAAAACATTTCTAAGTTGTCAAATCTAATGTTATTAAACATATCTTGACAGAAGATTTTTTAATTGTTTTATTTTTTGTGTTTTACTATTTTCTTAAAATTTAATAATTTTAGGCGAATTTTAATTTACTATCACATTAAAATTATTATGATGTACTATATTGATGATGTTGCTGTACGATTCTAAATATTACTAGTGATGCTTCTAATAATAACTTAAAATATATCGGCATTTAAGAAATATTAAGTACTTAAAAATCGAATTTCGAAATCAATATTTTTGACATACGATCGCCAAATAGCAACCTTGGCTAGAATTATTCACTTCCTTCTCCCCAAAATAGCGAAATCGTATCGTTGGATACCACGTGATGAAGGCGGAGCCAAGTGCCAACTCCTGGTGAACGAGCTATACACTTTTAGAGTTAAATGCCCTTTCTAAGGATGAGAAAAAATAACTCCAACCTTCTGGTCTACTAGGAACTTTAACTGTTAGAGTCCGGACACTCTTGACGAGTGAATTCAGCGATTCAGTACTTTCGGAGTTCTCAGTTTTGTTTTTGTTTCGCAGTTTAGCAAGTTCTAATTCTGCTTTTGTTCTCTCAAACTTAAATTTTTCTAACTGTAACAGCGATTCCTTTACTGCTTTTCTATCATTAATTATAGTATTTGCTATGTCAGTAGCAAGTTCTGGCTCTTTAACAAATGTTTCGTTGTTTTTTATTAAGTTCGTTAGCTCAATAATAGTCATAGTCTTAGTAACATTTTCACCTAACTCAATGGCAATTTGCCTTAAATCCTCTTTTTTCGCTCCTTTAAACATAGTTTATATTTATATAAAGTCAATATAAAGTCAATGCACAATTTATCTCAATCAAATTTCAAAACTGGTACATACCTTTTAAGTGATGAAATTCGTATTTTAATCCATAGGTTTTAACTCACCTCCGTTCTCGGAGGACCATTTGACCAGTTTGGTCAGATCAATAGCTCACACACAATAATAGGACTGTATTAATTTTATACTCATTTATTTTGTACCAGCATTACAGACTCGCGCGTGAGCCCGTTACACATACTCATTCTCTGCTGCTTCCAGCACTCAGTTCTACAATTAAATTCAATTAACGCTTACAGCGCCATCTATATCTTTAATGGGAATTAACAACCTGCTTACTGACCTTAGCCTGTGATGATAGACTTTGGTGTTCTACTGGGAACCGTGTCCTTACTATCAAACTACTGCGGGATTATTTTGTTTTGGAAACTCTTAAAAGTATCGGGTATCACGAACTTTTGGCAATTGCAAATTTCGTAGCAAGATTCGTCTGCGTTGTGACTACATTCCGGCATTCAATGTCCCATCATGTCATGTATAATTTTCAGCGAACTTTATTTCTTGTATCATAATGAACTGCTTTTATCTATCATGACATTTGAAAACATTATAAGATAATAATAAATTTCCCATTATTAAATGTATATGTGTAAAACGAAAAACCATTATCCGGTCCACTCCATTCAAAACAGTGTGGCTGCTTACATCTGGCTCACGTGATCTGTGACGTTGTCATTAAGCAGTCAAGTCTAATGATGCCACCTACCTGTCTTAAGGTTCTTCACTGCATTTTTGAGACACCCCGTATAATCT